GTGACAAGCCTAAACAGACCTCTATCACTTGCTTAGGCTTTCTCATTTTTTTTATTTTGGAAAATATCTTCATTTCCCATATCCTTTTAACATCTTTTACATTCTCATTTTCTAATGGCATGGATCTCAAATATGGGGGAGAAAGAGCTGACAAGAGCTCATGTCTTTGTAAGTGACCCCCTAACTTCGTTGGCAAGCCCAAATAAATATTCTTATTTCCCAATCTGTAACTTAAGAGGAACAATAGCATTAACAAATAAATCTTCTATCTGTTGTGAGACTTCTTTTCCTGGGGATGTTAAGCAATGCTTATTCCCTTTTAAGGTTCTGGTGTCAAGCCAATGTTTGACTAAAGTTTTACCGAGGAACCAATGAATTTATTGAGCTTGTTTACCATAATAACTGAGGGGTTGCTGAGGTGTATGTATGACCCAAGGGTATACACACTGGAAAGCCTTAACCCACCATGGGTCATGCCGGGGAGCTAATTCTTTAACTGATCGTGGGCTACCTCCCCTGCATTCAACCACCTTCATCTGTTACCACTTTCATCTAGAAATCAAAAAACCTTAGTCAGCTTTGCATTTCCGTGCCTTGGTAACTCTTCTCTTGCTCCCCCAGGCGTGGCCTCCAATGATGATTCTCTTTATTAGGTAAGCACTTTCACTGACTATTTTCTCCTGGAAATGTCACTGGAGAGAATGGTATTTGTGTTGTTTTGGTTGGTTTGCTTCCTTGTTTGTTTGTTCAGACATGTTCTCACCATGTATCCTGTGCTATTCCTGAACTCACTATGTAACCCAGGCTAGCCTTGAACTTTGGCAATCCTCCTGCCTTAGTCTCTTGAGTGCCAACATACTGGACCAAGAGGGAGGTATTCTTGGAGACACAGCTGTGAGATCAAGCTTGAGTCTATATTCCTTGATGCTGCAACAAAGAAAGATTGGTTAATCCTTCCCTCATTCAAAAATGTATGTTGTAGAAATGTCCCCATCCTGTGTTTAAATCCCACCTGTAATTCCTAGTACTCTGGCCCTTGACAAGACCTTGACACTTTGATCCTCAGTCTTGTTATATATAACATGGGCATTCTGCCTACCTCAAAAAGAGGTTAAAGGAATCTAACACGTTATCAGATACATAGCAACCAATACAATACTCAGACAAGAAAGGGACCACACCATCCCCCTTTCTGCCCTCAGTCTCAACTTGCTCTGACCACCAGGAATTATTTCCATTCTAATTTGTCTGAGGCCCCAATTTCTTCCAATTATACTAATTTTACCAAAATTTAATCATTGTAACCTTTCCACAGAGTACACACATATGATGAAAAGTGCTTAAAATCATTGTTCATACCTTCAGAGTTCATGGACTCTCACAGGTTGAACACACTTGTAAGCAGCATACAGACCAGCTTACCTCACATCTACCTCTTCCTCCCCTTCAAAACATACCTTCCTGTCACTTCCCTGCAAAGAACAGTGACAGTCAGGACAGCACATTATATGTATTTACATCTGGCGTATGTATTTCACTCAGCCCTGTTCTATGTGATTCGTATGTGTTGCTGTGTTCGTTCTCAGTGCTGTCTTATCCTATTCCATGACATCAACAGCATCATCTGTCTCCTAATGATCAGGACATCAGCAAGTAGAGAATGAGTAACAGGACAACTCTCCCAAAACTCACTGCTTCACAGAGGCAACAGGACAGTGAGCTGGGTCACCAGCAAGGTGAGACTCTGACCTGTGACACTGAGTTCACTGATGGCTGCTCATACTTTTCAGATACCTGAGTTGCATGTTCTTCTGAACCTCAATGCCAGGCAACCAAGACATCCAACTCCAGCCTCCATGCTGACACCAATCACAGATCTTTAGTCAGAAGTTAAAAAGAAGTTATATGTCAAAGGCCTTTCCAGGACTCACACTGAGGGAAACAAAAACTGGACTCAAAAGACCTTAACACATATGACAGAATGCAAAAAATCTGGTGTTGGGGCTATAAAGGGTGTAGATGGGAGAGAGTCTAAATATTATACAGATGCATACTATGAAATTTGCAAATATTCAATAAAAAAGGTACAGAGTATTTGGGAATAAACTCAACAATAGAAATGCAATATCTAGTCAACATTCTGAAGAGTAATTCAGTATCTAAATAAATGGATATTACATAAAATTAATAAGTTGTTGGGGAAAAATAATTGATGCAACCTGCATTATTCCCTGCAATGCTGATGCATTCCTAGACTCTTACCCCTCACTAGGAGATCTCTATGCCCTAAGGACATTCTCTCTCTCTCTCTCTCTCTCTCTCTCTCTCTCTCTCTCTCTCTCTCCTCTCTCCTCTCTCCTCAAGCTATAGCTTCTCCCTTCAGTGTCAATACATAAAGATATATCTTGGAGCCTATAGGAAAGCCCACCTTCCCTAGCATTGAGATTTGGCTGACATAGCTTTAAGAGAGAGGCATAGAACCACTGGCCCTCAAGCTCTCCTGGCCTAGATTTGTTTTAAATTCATCTATTTGGAGATCACCCATTCCTTCCCCCTGTAGGAAATGCAAATTAAATGCACTGTCTTTTCTAACAAAGAATTCAATGAGTCAAAGGCCAGAGCTCAGATCTTTACTGCTAGCTAGTAAGTACCAGCCCATTCTATTCCTATCTTCTCTACTTGGGCCTTGGCTCTATCCAACTGAGACAATAAAGATTATCTGTATAACATTAGTAGTCATGACATGCATAAAGATGCCCTATTAAATAAGACAGTGTCCATGACACCATAGACTTTCAGGGCCAAGAGGATATTTGATGCACAGTTTTCTTGGTAAGAATCAAGGAGACAAAAGTTCAGTCCTCTCCTGGAGGTTATAATGATATTTAATGGAAGAACAAGGACTTCAAGCCACCTTGGAAACTGTGAAATGCTATACAAATACCAACATTCTAGGTTTGGGACTATTTGTTGATCTTTATAACTTAGCAGTAATAGATAAGGGTGTTAGATCATGTGATGTTAGTTCATTAGATTATCAAAGTGTTCATGACTCAGAAGATAACCAAGTGCTTTATACTGAACAATAGAAATGAATATTATTTCTGTCATATTTACATTTTAAGACTTAAAATCTTTCTGTTTTTCATAGTGAACAATGATGATATAAAATAAATTAGTAAAGCACTAAAAATACCTAAAAATTAAAAAAATAAAAAGCTATTGAGTAACAGAATTTATTGTTCTAGAAATATTTCAATTGCAATCATAAATACATACTATCAATAGAAGTACAATTTAAGGATAATAATTGCATTCTTTTTCTTCTACTTACATAGTTCTAACATAGACATACTCATAAATTGTCATATCATCTCTCAATCTCACCTATACAATAACAGTTATACCACTGATAAGTCTCATTACTCTATAATTATAGTCCATAATAATGTATTTCAATTATTTCACCTATAGAATTAAGTGTATTATTTGTTCCTTTAAAAAAATGAGTGTGGGGGGCTGGAGAGATGGCTCAGCGGTTAAGAGCACTGACTGCTCTTGCAGAGGACTTGGATTTGATTCCCAGGACCCACATGGCAGCTACAAACCATCCTTAACTCCAGTTTCAGGGGAATCTTAATGATCTCCTAAAAAGATATCTGAAGAAACTAATTCAGGAAACTCAATCTCCTTGGGTAAAACTATTAGCCCTAGCCCTGCTCAGACTTAGGAACACACCCAATCGACAAGGTCTCATGCCCTTTGAAGCCCTATGTGCCAGGCCTTTCCTCACCAATGACTTTGTTCTAGACCTTGAAGCAGCCAGACTGGCAGCTCATATCACCCAACTGGCAAAATTCCAACAGATCCTGTCAGAGCTGCAGGCAGGGCTTTCCAGAGAGGAGCAAAAGAGCCCTCCCTTTCTCTGTCCTGGGGACCTGGCACTAGTCAAGGCACCATACCACAATACAAGCCATGTTCATTCCTGTGTGAGAGTTCATATCCTGTTATCCTATCCACCCCACAGCCCTTAGAATCGCTGGATTCAATTGTGGATCCATCACACTTGCATCAAGGCTGGACTGCTACCGGTTCCTCTGAGACTGTATGGACTCACCAGAAAGTACCAGTTCCAGCTATACCTATGAGCTGCTGGAAGACCTCAGGATATTTTTCAGAAGTCAGAGTTCTCCAGACTTAGCTAAGTCTACCTGATTTAGATGTCCTGTTGGGGAATTGTGCTTTTCTTATTACCACTGCCATTCTGTTGTTCATTGGTTATGATGGGTAGCACAACACATTCTTGGGTGTCACTTCTCTCAATGATGTTTTTCTGTAGGTCTGATAAAACCCTCGATAACCCAATGTCCCTCCCAGTATCCAGATTTCCTTGAGCCAAACTCCAAGAAATGGGTGGATGAAAATGATGTCCATTGCAGTATTTTGGTGCTATTGGGACATGCATTACAATACCAATACCTGGTAAAAGGCACATATAGGTTTACCATTTCACTCCCCATTATAGGGGGGAGCCTCTAGCACTGAAGTGGAGCAAGACTACTTTGGACCTGTACAAAGGCAAATCCTTCTCAGAACACTCGCTCCACGGTCTTGGTCTGAACCCTAATAAGACCACCCCATCCAATCCATTCCTGACTGATACCTGTTTTAGGGATCATGACTGTCAGCTCCCTATTTGTTTACAGTACAGTAAGTGCTCCCAACCAGGAATGGCTGATGAATTGCAAGGTCCACTCTCATTCAGGAACTTCTATGTGTAAGATCCATGAACCTGACCAGCTATGTAAGGTTCATTGCAACATGGAACATTGTCCCCAAAACTTCATACCTTGTACTTGTGGGATATTTATGGAATTTCCCGACAATCAGTCCCACTTGCTAAGATTGACCTGGTAGACCCATGGGCCTTCTAGAACTAATCTTACCTTGTGGACCTAACTACATATGACTAAATCAGCCCGTAAGCCCAGTCTTTACCTTGCAGGATAGACATATCAGGGAGCCTCTCTGGCAGGCTCAAACTTTTGTCTAGCTAGGAATAATTCTCACTAACCTTACCCTTCGATGGGATATTTCCAGATTCTGGGTCCACCACTTTTATCTTAATTATACTCGAGTCACAGCCCTTCAACAAACCCAGTTTCTCTGGTGGCTACCCCAAATTTGGCCCAAAGAAACTACAGGCCAAGAAACCCCCACAGCTGCAACCCCTTCTTATAACAAGTAGGAAGCTGCAACCCCTTCTTATAACAAGTAGGACTCAGAGGAATTGGCACAGGCCTAGGAATTACAGAGCAATTAGAATGGGCCACTTCAGAGGAGATACATTCATTAGGAAAGGTATTCCTGTCTGAAGTAGGCCATAAAGTTGGTCTACTGTTCTGGGAGGAAGTGAAAGACTGAAATATTTTGACTGAGGAAAACAAGAGATTAAAAGAATGGAGGACAATGACCACAGAGCGGAACTTTCAGGAATATGCCTTCACCACAACCTGGAAAAGAACTTGAGTTCATCCTCAACAAGCTCTGCTGGGCATCTCTAACTCAAATGGGATCAGAATTAACAGAACTAACCAATGGCCCACTATGCTGCATAGCTTCGGTTGTCAACTTGACACACCTAGGAAGAGGGAACCTCAACTGGGAATTTCCTCTATCAGATTGGCCTGTGGGCATGTCTGTGAGGTATTTTCTTGATTGTTAAGTAATCTGGGAGGGCAAAGCCCACTATGAGTGCTGCCACCACTGGACAGGTGGTCCTGTGTTGTATAAGAAAGTAGCTGAGCACAGGCCAGAGAAGTAAGCCAGTAAGCAGTATTTCTCCATGGTCTGTGCTTCAGTTCCTGCCTCGAGGTTCCTGCCTTGAGTTCCTGCCCCAGCTTCCCATGATGAGGAACTGTATTGTAAGCAGAAAATGGTCCTTTCTTCCTATGTGTAAGATCCATGAAAAGTTGGTTTTGGTCATATTGTCTACCACAGTAGCAGAAATCTAACTAGAACGTCCACTCTCCTAAACAGGCTAAATGTAACCATCTCTTCACCACTTACGGTACACATCCTCTCTGGAAAATAGCCTTTCACAACTATAATGAGACATCTTGTGTTCTAGCCACTCATGTTCCCCACTTGGATGAGGCAATTAGATTCCTTGTTACCAAACTCACGGGATTAAGAAAATGTGTTTTAAAACACTCCTGTTGTGTCCATGGGACATCACTGGGCAATCCTATGAGGTCTCTAAGCATGCTCTCTACCCTGTAGGGCTCTGGTGCATGGTCCATCCAGTTACACAGTTACATTTTACCTTATTAAATGAGACTTACATTACCAATGATGTTAAAGGATTTTCCTCATTACCCTTGTGTCTCAATGTTCCTCATGTGGTTGTTATAGAAGAAACCCAATGGCTGGCTTCTGAACTTAATCTGATTGCTGAGAAATTTCTCCAGCTCTTGAGGCAAACCAATGGCCTTCTCCACAATGTACACCTTGCAGTGGACAACAGTGGCAAGGACATCGTCGGATACCATCAGCCTCGTTGAAGCCTATGACAAAGCATACACAGGTCCTTTGGATTGTTTTCTTGCTTGTTCTCTCCTCTGATGAAGGCAACGTTGTCCCAACTGTCCTTTTAGCTACATGTTTTTGTTTGGTTTTTGGATCTTTGGTTATTTGGTTGGTTGGTTGGTTGGTTGGTTGGTTTTTCAAGACAGGGGCTTTCTGTAGCCCCAGCTGGCCTAGAACTCACTATGTAGTCTAAGCTGTTCTTGATCTCACAGAGAGTCTCCTGCTTCTGCCTCTGGAGTGCTGAAATTAAACGTATGTGCCACCACACAAGGCTTAGTATATTTTCAACAGAAACTATAGTTATAATAACAATTTCACTTTATGTATGTTACACATGCTACTTCACCTGCATAGCACACCTTGAAAAGGTACGCTGTCATCAAATGGTTGTCCTTCATTCCAGATCTCCACCATCCAGGACCTTTTATCATGACTGCTGCCCATTTGTACATTGTCCCTTTTGTCAACATGCAGTTAGAGCAGTCGGCACCCAAAAATCCCAATAGTTAGAGTGCCCTCTGACAGCCAGGGAGGAATGACTGTGAGCTAGCCATATTTTTGACAGGTAGATAAATAGGGAAAGGGACACTGATGAGTAACAAAGATGGAATACTTCTGCCTTCTTCTTGATCTGAGAGATCTGGAGGCAACCCCTGTAGCCAGCAGTTCCCTCTTTCCAGCTAACTGGTCCAGACCAGTTCAGATAAGACCAAGACCAGACCTGGCGATGTCTTCATTTGGAGGTGTAAGTCTATCAGCCTTCTCTTTAAGTTAACCAATCCAAAATTAGGGGAGAGGGATGCACCAAGAACACTTAAAAGACCCAGCCATCTGGGGGGACTCAAATTTCAGTTTCCAAATCCCCTCCCCATTTGTAGGGAGTCTTGCTCTCTGTGTGCTCTGGGGACATGCTTCTTCACTTTTCTTAATTAAAAAATTTTTATTTACTTAGAAGAATTCAGAATGTCAACAAAACAGCTGCATTTTTTTTGCAATTACAGAGTGGTATTCAGTTAACAGATCAACAATTATTTTCGTATAAGCTGCTTGCTAAAGTGGAACCATAAGTTGGAAGGCCATGAAAACTAGGTAGAGATATTGGAACCAAATCTGTGATCACAAAAGAACCACTGACAGTTTGGGGTAAATGGGTCATAAGACTAACACCTCGAGCAAGGGCAAAAGGGGATGGTGAAAACAGGAGTCCTGAGTTCCTAAACAAGAGATGTAGCTGAAAATTACAGAGGAAATCCGGGGTATAGTGGAGGGAGGACTGAACAAAGAAGCCTTGGATTGAAAAGCAAAAGTAATGTGCTAAAATCATGGCTACGTGAGGCAAGTTAGGTTCTCTGAACTTCATTCGTAGTCCATCCAGATATCCAATCAGAGGCAATGAGAATTCATTCTAAGCCTTGTTACTCAAATTATGATCTGCCAGCCAACAGCAATGCATTGTCCAAATCTTAGCAGTGGGGTGAGGGGTGTTTAGGGTCAGCCTAAGCAACACAAGAAGGCAAGAACTGAAAAATGAGACCAGACAGGCTGAGAAGGAAGAAAGGAGGGAAGAGGAGAAGAGGGAGGGAGAGGCACGTAGACCCTACCACCGGAAGAATTAGAATCTATATTTAAACAATAATCTTGGGTGGTCTGTAAGCATGTTAACATTTGACAAGCCCTTCTCTAAAGTACCTTCCAATTCTAAATGTGTTTCACATTTACCTCAAGTCTGTGAGGATGGGGAAGGAGTTGACCTATCCACCTCCTTTGAGCCCTTTTCTTTTTTAAGTATTTTATTTTTATTTAATGTGTATGAGTATTTTGCTTGTATGTATGCAAAGTACACCACATGTGTGCAATGCCCTCAGAGGCCAGAAGAGGATGTTGTATCTCCTGGAACTGGAGTTACTGACGGCTGTTTGCCATCATGTGGATGCTAAATCCAGGTCCTCTGGAAGAATAGCAAGTATCTTAACCACTGAGCCATCTCTCCAGCCATGTTTGTGCCCCTTTTTAAAAAAAATAGTTTTTGTTGAATTTTTGTAGAGCTCAACAATATGTTTTTATCTTATTTAGACCCTCTCTCCTACCTGCACCCCCCAACTCCTTCCCAAATTCATTGATTTGCTCTGTCTAGATGGTTCTTAGGGAACACCAGTGATTCGGGGCTGCCACCTTGTGACATGACTGGTAAACACACTTAACCGCTCTCACTAGAAAGGAATGGGGAGGACTGGTAGGAGGATAAAGTCCAAGTCACAGAATTGGTAAGATAATCACAATGATGCACATTAACTAAGGTGACTGTCAGAAGCAGCTCAGCCTGCAGCACAGAGCAGTATCACATTTGAAAGTGAAGGTTTTAAATGTTTATTACATTTTTATTTCCTACATGTAAGCAGAGCACAGCATACCTGTGGAAGTCAGAGGACAGCTTGCTGGAGTTGGTTCCTTCATTTTACCATGTAGGTTCTGGGTATCAAACTCAAGTCATTGTGCTTGGGGACAGGCACCTTCACCTGCCGAGCCATTTTTCTGACCCTGAAAGTAAAGTTTTTATAATTCCCAACAATGTGGAGTTAGTGGAAAACCTAGGTTCCAAGCCAAGCTCTTCCAATGAAATGTAAAATCACCAAAATAGGTGCTTTCAAACATCTAGCCCTGCCTGAACTCTGCAGGATGGACACTTTTCCACAGACACTTACTTTACTGTGATGCTTCTTTTTCATCTTGTGCAGAATGTGCCTGGTACATACTCTGCAATCAAGTCCTGTGTTCCACAGGCACTGAGATTCACCTGATACATCATACAATAAATCTTCAAAAACTTGAAAAGACCTGCCAGATCCCTAACCCTGTTTTCCATCAGCCATTTCACAGTGACACAACCTGAAACCCCTACACTCTCCTGTCACTTTCCTGTGGTCAGGTGAGATACAGAAACTCTAGATTCTAGCAATTTCTAACCAGAGCAGCAGTGCTGTAGGAGGACCTGCTTCCCCATTCTGGCACCACATTCAGATTTAGAAAGCGAAATCCCACCTCCACTGCATTTTCCCACCTGTGCCACCTCCTCCTCCTCCTCCTCCTCCTCCTCCTCCTC